CTGGAGACCGTGGGAAAGCAGTTTCTGTGCCGGCTGCCTGGCTCAAACGAGTCCCCACACGCCTGCCATGACTGCACGGGTTTGGGAAAACCTCTGGCGGGCTTGCCGGGACTCGGCTGGGCTGTGCGGGGGGCGGAGGGCCGAGCCCGTGCCTCTCCTCTGCGCCTGTGCCATTCCCCTGCCGGTGGGGAACAGTCGGAGATGCTGGGCTCTCCGTGGGGCTGGGGGGCTGCTGTGGGAACGGCGCCGCATTTGCCACCCACTGGCCCTCTTCAGAGACTGCCCCACCTCAGAGGAGAGGGGGTGGGAGAGAGGAGCCCGTTTCCCCTGTCTGTTGCCTGTCCTACCTCCTGTTTTGAGTTCACTCGTGTGATTTTTTTTTTTTTTTTGACCTCCTCTCCTGCTGTCCCTGCAGCGCTCTTACCTCCTGCTTCCTCGCTGTGGTGGCTGGGCTATTTCTGCCATGACTCTCTGCGTCTAGACCTGGCTGTCCTGTGCCTTTGCCAATCAAACCCGAGCTTCATCCTCCAGCAGGTCTGTATGGAAGAATATTGCCTTTCCTCTATCAAAATAGTGATTGTGGTGTGCTCGTTCACTCTTCTCCTTTGGGAGGGGATGTTGGAGAGGTCCAAGTCGATGCCCATCGCTAGATCTGTGGGCTGAGGACCTCCTGGGGTGGCTGCAGCCTTGAGAGCCCTGGTGAGAACCTGGAGGTTGCTGAGTTTTGGGAGCAAAGAGGCTCATCGCGGTCCTCTTTAGGGGGACCCTGTCCCACTTCATTTCCTTTCCTGGGTAGGAAGGGGCTGTGGAACTGGGGTTGTCGTCTTGCCTCTTATCACACTGGGGACGAGGGAGCAGAGAAGTGACACAGCCCTCTCCTTCAGCCCTTCCCTGGAGGAAATAATGGGATGTAGGTCACTTTTCATTCTGTGGCAGTGTGTCCCCTCTTCCGCCTCAGGGTGCCTGTGGGCAGCTTTTCCTTGTAGGGGAAGTTTTCCTGCAGCCTGAGGAGGGAGGGCCCTTGTGGGAAGAGGGAACCTCCTCGGCACACAGCAGCTCTTCTGAACCTGGCTCGACCCCAGCTGTTAGGTGTGATGGGGGAGGACCTTCTGCCCCCAGAGTGCCCCTTCTCCAAGCTTCAGTGCAGGGGCAGGGAGCATCTGAGTCATGCCTGGGGCTGTGCTGCTCCAAGACCTTCTTGCCAGCTCTCTGGTGGTGGGGTGGGAATGGGTGTTAATGCCATAAGATAATTTTTTTTCTTGTTCTGAGAATCTGTCTGAAAATCAGTCTCTTCTCTCCTCCTTTCCTCCCCAAATCATGTGCAGTGAAGAGAGGGGCTCCTGCCCTTCTGGGTCACTTTTCTTCCTCTCACCTTGACACCAAGCCGCCTCCACTTGTGCCTCCCTGTGCCCTCCGCCCCTGCCCTGCCCGTCCTGGGCACCCATCACCCATGGACGACTCGGAAGTGGAGTCGACCGCCAGCATCCTTGCCTCTGTCAAGGAGCAGGAGGCACAGTTCGAGAAGCTGACCCGGGCGCTCGAGGAGGAACGGCGCCATGTCTCGGCCCAGCTGGAACGAGTCCGGGTCTCCCCACAGGACGCCGGCCCGGGCTTGGCCAACGGCACGCTCACCCGGCGGCACCAGGTAAAAAACCCCCTCGGCAGAGGTGGGTGCGGAGGCTCCTGGAACCCTCGGCGGGGGCAGCCCTGGGCCCGGCTCCTTTCCTTTGGCCCTCCTTGGATATGCGAGGTGGAGGAGGGCTAGGCTGGTCTCGTAACACGGATGGTGCTGTATGTGCGCTGGGGCTGAGGGTGAGCTGGGGATGTGCAAACCTACCTCGGCAGCCAGAGTCTTCTGGGGAGAAGCAGCCAGCTTTGCTACCAGGTCAGCTCTGGTTTGGTTTTGTGAAGGCTGGAGGCTCTCTGTATTCAGGACTTGGGCATCTTTTTTCTTTGTGTCCCGCTCAGCTTCTTGGAAGGTGGCTGAAATGCAGGGGTTGGTGTATAGCTGTGGGGGAGCGTGCGTCTCCCTCTTGTGTGATGACGGACCAGTCCCCGGAGTCTTGGTCAATCCCCCAGGCAGCCAAACCAGGGCTGGGAGTTTTCTCTACAGGGCTGGAAATGTGGTTTCATCTGCCTTGGCTTGAGGTCTCTCTCCTGTTCTCACTTTGCCAGGCTCTGTTTTGGAGAGGGGTGCTCGGAGGGTTGGCGCGTGGCGTTGTGCAGGAGGCAGGTGCCTTTCCAGTGGTGGAAGGTGGTGGTGCTAGGAGAGAGGTGTGGGTCGGGGGGAAGGAAGGGGTGGGCAGAGGGGGAGCGCAAGAGTTGAATGGTAGCACTCTGCAATCGGCCGCCGAGCATCTGCACTGTTCCCTCATGATGCTGCGGGGGCTCTGGGATGTCGCTTGTGGCTCCTGCGTCAGAAGATGTGGAAGGTCTCCAGGGCCGTGCTGGGGAGCAAGGAAGGGTCTTGGCCATTCCCTCAGGAGCGTGTGGGCACTGTGGGCGAGCTGGGATGTCTGGAGGGGGGCTGAACGGAGTGTGCTCCAACTCTTCCCCTGGCTGGAGTGGAGGGTAGTTTGCTGCACGTTGCACAGACCCCTGAGGAGCACGCTCTTCTCCGAGGAGTGACACCTGGGGTCTCTGTCAGATGCAGGAGGTGGCCTGCTCGGGGCCTGGCGGGGAAGGGGGGGATGGATATATGGGATCCCAGCAGTGGGAGGTCAGTCTAGTAACAGGCCCGCTATGGTGCTGTGCGTTTCAGAACGGCCGTTTCCTGAGCGATGCTGACCTGGAAAGGCAGAAATACCCAGATCTGAAGCTCAACGGGCCGCAGGTAAGGGAGCTGAGCCCTCTGGCTGTGGGCAGCCTGGGTGCTGGGTGGGGGGTGCAGGGGCAGGGCTCCAGTGTCCCCACCCTAGCTGGGAGTGGGGGACTTGCGTTTCTAATGTGGCTACTCTGGCTTGAAGGGGCTTTGGATGAGGGGTTGTTGGTACCCCCTTCCATGCAAGAGGGTATTAGGGCTCCTCAAGAGGTGAGATCTCTTGGCTGAGTGACTCCAGGGAGGCCTGTGGTGTTGGTGGGGGGCTGACTGTCTGACCCTTGCTCCCCTCAGGACCACAGCCACCTCTTGTACAGCACAATCCCCAGGATGCAGGACCCGGGCCAGATTGTGGAGGAGACATACACCATGGAGGAGGACCCAGAAGGAGCCATGTCAGTTGTGTCTGTGGAGACATCAGACGATGGGACAACACGCCGTACAGAGACCACGGTACAGGCCAGCTCTGGCTGGGGACCATGGTGGCTGGGATGCCACAGCTGTTGATGTCTGCCAGCTTGCTGTGCTGTGAGCTGAAACAGGGTGTGAAATCTGCCTGGAGTAAGGTCCTGGGCTGGAAGGGGAATCTGGGCATGCAGGGGTGCAGTGGACTTCCTGATGGGAGTGTGTCTTGCATCCATCCCTCTAGGTAAAGAAAGTGGTGAAGACTGTGACCACCCGGACGGTGCAGCAGGTGCCGGTGGGACCCGATGGGTTACCTTTGGAAACCTCCCCAGTCACCAGCAACTACGTCCAGACCATGGACAGGAACTTCCGCAAGAATGGCAACGGGGGCCCAGGCGGCTACCTGAGCCAGCCGGGCACAGCCACCCTCCCTCGTAACTACCACTACCCTGACGGCTATGGCCGTCCCTATGAGGACAGCTACCCGGGCAGCGATCACAGCTATGGCAGCCTGTCCCGTGTCACCCGCATTGATGAGCGCTACCGCCCCTCCATGGACACCTACCGGGCCCCTAGCCGTCAGGACATCTACGGCCCCCAGCCTCAAGTGCGTGTTGGGGGCAGCAACATGGACCTCAACCATTTCCCCCCCGAGCCGTACGGCTTGGAGGATGACCAGCGCAGCATGGGCTTTGAAGATGTGGACTACGGGCTTATGTCTGACTATGGCACGGCCAGGCGGGCAGGGACCCCGTCTGATCCTCGGCGGCGGCTCAGGTATGCGGCAGGAGGCACTGGGGGGAGATGCTGTGGGGTCCCTTTTAACTTCACCCTCCTTGGAGGAAGGAGGATTGCAGAGACAGTACCGTGAGCTGAGTCACATGCAGCTCATGCAGGAGAAAACTTGCATCCGCTTCTAATTGTCTGCTTAATTGGTGGTTAAAACTCCGTGCTAATTGAGCCAGTCATCCTGCAGCAAGGAGTTCCACTGGGCGGTTGGATGTAGCTCCGGGCCCTTCCCTCTCTGCCACCCGTTCTGCTAGTGGGACAGCAGGCGCATCTGCGCCCCAGCCTTGCTTATCCTGCTGGGAACCGCACCTGGCGCGGGGTGTGTGGCACAGCCCCACATCAGAAGTAGCAGCAGCCTCGTGATCGCACGCACGCTGAGCTGAGAGGCAGCCCCGGGGAGCGGTGCTGAGCCCGGGGCTGGGGTGAGCAAGGCTCAGCCCCACGGTGCCCCGGGCAGCGTTCCCGCAGCACTGCCTGGCCCTGGCGCAGGGCAGGAGAAGCTGCTCAACCTGTTTGGCAGTAGCAGCTTCTCCCCCTTGTAATTCTGTGGGCGATCGCTCGGCCGCTCCTTCAGCCCCATGGCTGAGCAACTGCCCCACCAGGCTGCAGCTGCCCTTGGGCAGCCAGAGCCGGGTCGCAGGGTCGGGGTGGCCCTTTACCCGCCCTGCCAGCCACGCGGCCGGGCACCCTGGGATGTCACCTGCTTGAGGCCGTGACTGCTGCGGACTGGTGTCTCGTGCCAGCTGCGTCTCTTCCTGCACAAACACTGCTGCTGCCTGCTTCAGCCCCTCAGCCTGCTCGGCTTGCTGCGTGGGCTGTCGAGTGAGGTTTGGGGAGGTGCTGGAGGAGGGCTCGAGGGCGGCGAGGTAGGAATGGAGCGAGGGGCTGAGCCTGGATCCCAGAGATGGGGAGGGGGCCAGTGCAGCAGGCTGGGATAGATGTACATTTCCCGAGTACCCCGGGGCAGGGAGAGACAGGTAAAGCTGAGCTCAGGCTGCTTAAGCTCCTGGGGCATGAAACAGAGGCAGGAGAGGAGAGACCTGAGGGAAAGGAGGCTCTTGCCAGCCCCCGTCGGATCTCTGCCGATCTCGAGGCGTGCACTGTAAATCCACAGTAGCTCCCGGATGCTGAAGGGACTAGAGGAGGAGCTTTGTCTGTCCTTTCGGCTTGTGCCAGCACAAGTGTTTCTGTTGCTGTGCCCAACCAGTCGGGGCGGTTGTTCACCCAGACTGACTTCCCGGGCCCGCCTCGCCCTGTGAGGCTTGTGCTGCTAGAGGAGGGCAGGCAGGGCGGCCGCCCCCGCTGCCCGCACTGGCTCAGGCAGCCAGCATCAGCAGTTTTGAGCACGTGGCCATCGTTGCTAGCCCTGCGGTGAGCAGCTTGGGCAGGAGGGGTTAAGCAGGCGTGTCCAACCCATGGCCGCTTCTGGCTGCGGAGGGAGCAAATGCCAGCCGAGGCAGAAGGCTCTGGCTTGCAAACCTTCTCTGGGATCGTGTCCTGCCCAGCACGTGGGGGCCGGAGCACTCCCTGGATGGCCCAGTCTGAACTGCTTGGCCTTTGAGACCACAAGTCCTCTCTGCTGGGCTGGATGGTGTCTGCGTTCCTTCTGCTCCTCCACATCCTGGAGGACAGGAGTTAAGGAGCCAGGTGCAGGAGTGCAGCTGGGTAGGAGCCCAGGAGGCTTGGGTCGCAGAGGGAGAAGGTCCCGCTTCCAAGCATGCTGGAAGGAGCAGCCCTGGTGGAGATGTCACCTTGTCCTGCAGGGATGGTGCCAGGTATGGAAGAAGGGTTGGTGCGGCCCATGAGCAGGCTCTCCTTCCCCAGGCAGACCGATAAAGATCGCAGCAATCTGTGGAATCCAGGCACTGTTGAGCTTGGCTTGTCCCCTGCCTTCTCAGTTACTGTCTGTGCTCAGCCACCCGGCTTGCAGGAATGGCAACGGGCGAGATCAGCATCCCCCCTGCCTCAGAGATGTTTGTCTTGAGCAGGGGCCTGGCTGTTAATGACTTCCTTCAGGGAGGCAGCTTGCCAGGCACGTGGGAGACGAAGGAGCGTGTTGAGCTGAGACGCAGCACATGCTGGCTTCCATTGGTCCCCTCTCCTGTGGCACTTCTTGGAGCTCCCTCTCTTCGGGGAAGAGGGAAGGGGGGTTCAGCGGCAGCGCAGGGTGTGTTCCCCGCTTCCTGCCAGCCCCACCTCACCTGGAGGGGCAGGGTGGGATCCAGCACTGAATGACCCTTGTGGCTGAGCTCCCTTTCGGGGCGTGTGAGTCTTGGCATGGGAGAGAGGTCAGCTGCCGGCCGCGCCGACAAGCATCGAGTGGCTCGTTTGCAGTGCTGGCGCTTGGCTGCGTCTTGCTCCTGCCTCGTCCCGCTGCAGGGATGGAGGTGTGGCTGGTGTGGTCCGCTGAGCGCCGTGCCCTGCAGCAGCGGGGAGCGACTCTCTGGAGCAGCCGGGCTCCTCAGCATCTCTTAGTAGCCAGGCGATGCGGCAAGCAATGCATTTCCCTGTCGGGACGTGCTGAAAGCCACCCTCGCAGCCTGGTGCCACCGTCCGCGGTGGTGCCGTGCGGGCAGCATCCCCACCCAAGGGGGATGTGGCTGTGGAAGCGGCCGCTGCCTGGAGCTGGTGCTTTTGGTGAGTGCTGTACCAGAGGCTGTAGGGGAAGTGGCGGTGTAGGGAGCAGAACCTGTTACCATCCCTCGTTGAAGCATTCCCTGCCTGCTCAGGGGCAGGGGGCGTCCGCCAGCTACCCGCCCCTCGTGGCAGCCTCCCCGACCTGCTCAGGGGCAGGGGACTGCCCACACCTGATCTGGGGGCTCAGAAGGTGGCTGAGCAGTCCCCGGGGCAGATGTGAGCTGGAGGATGCTATGGCATCTTGGACCTCAGTTGTGCCTCCCCAGTGCCCTGGCACAGCAGGGCTGATGGCAGTGGTCAGGCCCCTCTGTTTAAGTGCCAGGTCCCCTCCCATCCCCTTCTGTTGGAAGTGGCTAGATTCCTCTACCAGTGACTACAAAAATAGGGTGAGAACCTGGGATTTTGTGTGGTTTGTGTTCTGGGGGTGTTAAGTGTCACCTTGGCACGTGGGGGACTAGTTGCATTTTCTTTCAGCTTCTGTGTGCTTGCTGGGGCTCGCTAGCTGCTGGGTCTGTGGGTGAACCACTCTTCACGAGGGCAGGGGCTGCGGGACCACAGCTCTTCCCGTGCCTGAGCTGAGAGCAGCGAGGCTGACTCCTGCAGCCCGTGTGCCTCTTGGTGCCTGACTACGCCTGTCCCCTGGGCAGCAGGGCAGTCGGCATATACTGCCGGACATCTGAAGGCAAAAGAGTTTGAGCCCAGTCCTGGGTAAAAAAAGATAAATCTTTGCGCTCACCGTGATGCTCTGAAGTAATGGCAGTGGCTTGGGCTGGCAGCAGCTTGCGTGTGCTGGGCTGCTGTGGGGCAGCTGGGGTGACGGGCTGCGGCGTTGGATACGGCCAGGTGGTGCAGCGGAGAACTGGGTGGCCTGAAACTGGGCACTGGGCGCACGCCGTGCCCACGCAGTGCTGTGGCGTGGGCATGGGGAGCTCCTGGGTCATTTGCTCTCCCAGCGATCTGTTGTGGTGTGAACTTGCCCTCTAGTGGCTGCAGACCCAAATGGGTTTTTGTGCCTCTGGGGCTGGCTCCTGCCGCCGTGGAGGTTATGCAGAGACCAGGACCCAGCCTCTGACCCAAAGCTAAGCGCAGTGGGTGGGTGAGAAGGGGCTGGAATAGGCGTTGAGGATGCCTTCTCCGTCGGAACAACCGCCTGCTTCCTGAGCAGGCCTGGGGATGCATGGGGGTGGCCGCCTGCGGCTACGGGCTGGGGCGGCGGGAAGGTGCCCTGACACTGCTCTGCCACCTCGCTCCCAGCCCCTGATGGGAGTCTGCCTGGTGTGCTCCAGCAGGGTAGTGGTGACTAGACGCTGCGTGCACTTCAGCCCATCTTCTGGTGCGTTCGAGGGGGCACAGCATCCCCCCAGGTCTAGGGTTCGTGCTGATGCCTGTTGTCTTCTCTCCTAGGAGTTACGAAGACATGCTGGTGGATGAAGTGGCCCCCGACCGGTATTACTGGGCCCCTCTGGCTCAGCACGAGCGGGGTAGCTTGGCTAGTCTGGACAGCCTGCGGAAAGGAGGTCCAGCCCCGGGTAACTGGCGCCAGCCAGAGCTGCCGGAGGTGATAGCCATGCTGAGCTTCCGGCTGGACGCCGTCAAGTCCAACGCAGCCGCCTACCTGCAGCACCTCTGCTACCGTAACGACAAGGTGAAGACGGAGGTGCGCAAGCTGAAGGGCATGCCTGTGCTGGTGGGATTGCTAGACCACCCCAAAAAAGAGGTGCATTATGGTGCCTGTGGAGCCCTCAAGAACATCTCCTTTGGCAAGGACCAAGACAATAAGATTGCCATTAAGAACTGCGATGGGGTACCCGCTCTGGTGCGCCTGTTGCGGAAGGCCCATGACATGGACCTCACGGAGGTCATCACAGGTAATGGCTCTGGGAAGGAGAGGCTAATCTGTTGGGTGAGGGATGCACAGAGCGGGTTTTAAACTCAGGATCTGATTGATCACCTCCCGCTTGTGGCATTGCAGGAACACTGTGGAACCTGTCCTCGCATGACTCCATCAAGATGGCCATTGTGGATCATGCGCTACATGCTCTGACCGATGAGGTTGTCATTCCCCGCTCAGGCTGGGAGCGGGAACCCAATGAGGACTCGAAACCACGCCATATTGAGTGGGAGTCGGTGCTCACCAACACCGCTGGCTGCCTTAGGTATGGGAGGGGGGCTGCCGGCCGCTGGCAGGGAGCTGGCGGGGGTCGGGGCTGCTGTAGCAGTCCTTCCTGGCTGTTCTGGTAGCTTTCTGGGACTGCCAAAGGAGGTCTGCAGAAGAGCTGCTCTCCTAGGACAGCTGCTGGTGATGCAGCCCTTGATTTTTGGGGGAGTTTCTCTCAGTGGAGGGGAGCTACAGGAGCTTTTCTCTTGTTTGAGCTCTGCTGGGTGTGGGCTGCTCCTCACCTGCCCTCAGCTGTGTCTCCCATGGTGGTTCTCTCCTGCCTGCCAGGAACGTGAGCTCAGAGCGGAGTGAGGCCCGTCGGAAGCTGCGGGAATGTGACGGGCTGGTGGATGCCCTGATCTACATCGTCCAGTCCGAGATCGGCCAGAAGGACTCGGACAGCAAGGTACTGCAGCAGGGGTGGTGTTGGGGCGCATGTAGAGCTCTGCCCTTGTCAGCCAGCTCTAGCAGCGCTCTGCTGTTCATGGTGGCTGAAGCTGGGTTCATCCCAAGATGGATGAAGAATGGGTAAGGGGAAACTTCACCAGGGAGGGATGTGGTCTGACAGGACTAGCTTGGGAAAGCCCAGTCCGGGCTCGCACCTTTCCCGGATCTCTGCTTGGGGGGAAAGAGCTGGTGTGGGATGTGACCTGGGTGCCGTTTGACCGGGAGGCATCTGGCGCTCAGCCTGCGGTTTGCAGTAGGACCGCTGGGCCTCCAGCAGGGTCTGGTGGTGTCACTCACCCCCACGCTGGGCTCCCAGATCTGCCTTGGTGAGGTCTTGGCTTTAATTTTCTTCGAGCCTTTCCTCGGACGTTTCATGCTTATGGCAGAGAGATTTTTGGGCCAGTGGAGTATGAACACATGCTTGCAGAACTGGCCATGCCTGCTTTGGGATGGGAGTATGCTCCAGCTCCGTCTGAGGTGGAGCTGCATATCCCCCTGGTCCCACTTGAGACCCCCTTGGCCTGGCTTTGTGTGGCAAGCTGTGATGGGGCCCTCACTCAGAGACGTGGGATGGGCACGTGCTGCTCCAAGTCAAACCATCTGGCTTTCTCTCTAGCTGGTGGAGAACTGTGTGTGCCTGCTGAGAAACTTGTCCTACCAAGTCCACCGTGAGATCCCGCATGCCGAGCGCTACCAGGAGACACCTCTGGCCCCTGCCAACAACGCTGGGCCCCACGCTGCAAGCTGCTTTGGTGCCAAGAAGGGCAAAGGTTCGTTGGGTGTCAGCAACATGGGGGGAGGTGGGATGAAGGCAGATCTACTACAGTGGAACTTAAGGGTGGTCTTGGGGTCTTGGTGCGCCTACTCTGGCATCTCTTGTGTGAAGGCTAAACCGCAGCTTTCTCTGGAGACGCAGTGGTCTGTGCCTTCCCTGGCTTTGGGAGCTACTGCTTGGCTTACCCAAAGCATTTGATACAAGCTAATGGTGGGTTTCTGTGGTGGTGGGATGGTGATGGATAGATGTCCACTAACTCCACACCTTCCCTTGTCTCCTGTGTTGCCCCTTCCCCTTCCCTTTGCTTTCTTGCCAAATGATCTGCCCCATGATGCTGTCGGCACTTCTCTCCTCCTGCCTCCCCTCTCCCCTGTCCTTCTCTCCGCTTCGCCAATAGACGAGTGGTTCTCCAGAGGTGAGTGTGCTCTTGGTTTTAATTTTTCCATGGTTTGATTGGGTGCTTTCTCTGGCTCTTTGTTCCCCCCTGCCCCCCAGCTGGGCGTGTTCTGCCTGCAGTGTGGCTAATGCCCTTGATGTCCCCTTCTGGGACATGCTGGTAGCTTAGCTTCAGCTCACCTCTGGGCTTGTTCTTGTAGCAAGTGGCAACGAGCTGTTGGGCTGCGATGGGTGGGGAGAGGAGGTGTCTTATGCCTCTCTACTTGCCCTTTGAAGGTAAAAAGCTCCCGGAAGATCCTGGTGCCGATACAGTGGATTTTCCCAAAAGAACAACTCCAGCCAAAGGTATGTTCCTCAGTGTGCAGGGCTTGGGTGCGCAGGGCTGCTTCTCCACAAGCAGTCCAGGAGAGGAGTGAGTAGAATTGATTTCCCATGGAAGTGAGCCTCTCGGATGCGCTGAGGTTTGGTTTGGAGGAGGTGTCTTTCCGGTTGCCCCGATGCCTGTTGAAACACTAGCTGTGCCACAGACAGTTGTGAGGGTCCTGCTTGTGCTTGGAAGAGCTCAGCACTGCCTCAGGACAGGCTTCCTGGGCCGCAAAAGGAGCTGTCCCTATTGCCCTAGGGTCTGAGGGACAGCATGGTGACACAACGCTAGGAAGGGTGGCCCTCTGTGGTGGCCTCGGACTTCTCAGTGTAACTGCCCTCTTGCCTGCTCTTCTCTCCTGGGCATGAAGAACAGGCAGGATTTAAAGTGTTCTCCAGCATGAGCATGGGGGAGGGTCATTCCCAGAAACCTCTGGGGACAAGTGTCTGTGGTGGATTGACCCTGGCTGTATGCCAGGTCCCACAAGAGTCACCATTCCACCCCTCACCTCTGTGAATCACATATTTAAGAATTATCATTAAAATCCATGTTCATCACACAATCTTAACAGTCTTCACAAACTTCGCTTACATTAACAAAAAAGAATTCCCCACACCAAAATCAAAATAACATGATCGCAGCACCGAACGAAAGTGGACAATATACATACAGCATCTACCCCTTGTCCCTTCACCACAGTTATAACAGCTGAAATTCCCCATGATCATTCTGCACTCTAACATTCTTCAGTCTGTGCTTTGCCCATTACCTCTCCCAACTACTATCCTTACCTCTAATTCCTCGGGCCCCAGGTTGGGTGCCAGAAAGGTGGTGGGTTGACCCTGGCTGGATGCCAAGTGCCCAGCAAAGCTGCTGGGCAGGGGAGAGAATATAACGAGAAGCTTGTGGGTTGAGATAAGGTCAGGGAGAGATTGTTCACCAATTACAGTCATGGGCAAAACGGACTCAACTTCAGTGGGTATGGGTTTAGTGGCCATGGTGGTGCTGGGTTGACAGTTGGGCTTGTTGATCTTGAAGGTCTTTTCCAACTGTAATGATTCTATTACTTGGGGAAATTAATTTATTGCTAATGAAAATCAGAGTAGGGTAATGAGAACTAAACCAAAGTCTTAAAACATTCCCCCCACCCCTCACTTCTTGGCCCCAACTTCACTCCTGATTTTCTCCCTCATCCCCCTGAGCAGCACAGGGGGATGGAGAATGGGGGCTGTGGTCAGTTCATCACA